CCCTTTGGTCTGGGAGGAATCTTCGTCCAGGTTCAGTTTTTGGAGTCAGACTGACAATTACAGTGCAGGGCTGAAAAAAGGGAACAACAGCCCTTTCCCCTCAGGGTCTCCCCCAGCCCTGCCCACCTGCCCAGCATCAGCACAGCCCTGAAGGAGCTCCACAGGAGTCACCTCCGGAGGCACCTCCCAGCCCTCAGCAATCCAGGCAGCAACACATGGGCAGGCCACAGATGCTGCTTCCTGGCTGAGACAGGGCTTGTGGTCACCTCCAAGGACCAGGTTCCCAATGATCCCCACAGCTCCAGGCTCTGCCCATCCACTCTGCCCATCCACTCTGTGTTGAGGTTGCAGCAGAACCCACCAAGGCCAAGGGGCTTTGGGGCACTTTCTCTTCCCCAATGCACACCTGGGCAAGTATTGCTGAGCACAAGGAGCCCTTTCCCCCTCTTTCCAGAGGCCCTGTGGACACCAGGCACCTAAAAAAGCTCCTGGGCTTCTGTGTATGACATTATTTATTTAATATTCCTATGCTAGGGTAAAAAGAAAGGCTTGTGGAGAAGAGGCATCTTCCCCACAGGCTCAGGTGGCTCCAACAGGCAGAGCTGCCAGGATCAACTCTCCACACAGCTACAGCAGACACAGCCCCACAGAGAAGGCAGGCTGTTCCATGCCCTACAGAGCTGGTCTCGGAGCTGCTGGAACCTGGAGGGGGGAGCTTTAGCTCTCTGTACAGCTCTAACAAAGTTGATGTTTTCAAGTGCCAGATTTGAGACAGCGGGGCTCCTGTCATCTCTCACGGCTTGAAGGGCTGGAACACAGAAGAACAGAGACAAGGTCAGAGCCCACATTGGTGGGGATCTGAGGAGCCCCTCCTGCCAGGGCCATCCCACTGAGCCCTTGCCATTGCCAGGAGGGAGCAGGGCCCAGCAGGATCAACCAGAAGGCGTTGGCCATTTATACCCCCCATGCCCCTGAAATCTGTCTCTGCTCTGCCCACGCTGCCCCTCGTCCGTGCAGGGAGCAGAGCCCTCCACAGCCAGGGCAGGATTGCAGCTCCCTGGCCAGAGTCTGTGCTCCTCTGCCAGCCCCCGCTGCCCTCACTCACCGTCGATGATGAGCTGCAGCTCTTTGTGCTGTCCCCTCAGGTACCCCCCGGCGATCCCTGGGAACACAGATGGTGTCAGGGCCCCAGCAGCACAGCTGCCCCCAGCTGTGCTGCCAGCCCAGCCACACGCCCTCCTGCCCCAGCAGGGCTGAGCCCGGGGCCTTCCCACTCAGGACACCCCAAGGCTGGGCTGGCAGAGGGCGGCAGTAGCCACCAGGGCACTCGGGGCTCCACAGCACATCCCTGAGCCGCATCCTGCTGCCGCTGCAGCAGCCGGGGCTGGGGCTGAGCTGCAGCGGGGGGGACCATGGGCTTGTGGCTCACCCATGAACTTGATGGCTGCCTCTCGCAGGGGCTGCTGTGGGCTCTGCAGGTACGGCAGGGCCTGGTGCACGTATTTGGCCACTCGGCTCCGGTCCCTTTTCAGCTGCAGAGAATGGCAGGGCACAGAGGGAAGGGTTGGCTGGGGCTCTGCCCGTTGGCTGGGCGCTGCCTGTGCCCAGCACTGGCCTCCCCTGCCCACACAGCCCTGAGGCCCAGCCAGCAGCCACTGGGGCTGGGCTTTGGAGGGAGCAGAGGGCTGGCTGCTCCCCAGGAACCACGGGGCTGCCCTGCCCCACAGCCCAGCTGGGCCGGGGCTCCAACAACACCCTGGCTCGGGGGCAGAGCAGCCTGCAGAGGAGCCCACACACCCCAGGGAAGGCAGCAGCGTGTGGGGTGCAGCAGTGGGCAGGGGCACAATGCCAGCCCCACACTCTGGGCATCGGACTCTGGTGCTTGGGGTTGTCCTTACCAGGCACTCGCCAAACTTCCATGGCTCCTCTGTGTTCACCAGGCGCCCAAGATCCCTCCTCTTTAGGAACCTGGTCACAGCCAGCAGTGCTTTCTGAGAGGCCTGCAAAGCAACAGAGACCAGGAGATGGCACCGCAGCCCAGGGCACAGGACCCATGTCCCTGGACCAAGGCCAGGAGGAGGCTGGAGCCCAGGAGGTGCCAGGGTAAGAGGCAGCCGAGCCCCCTCCCACGGGGACACCAGACCTGACGAGTCCTCACCTTTTTCACAACCAGGTTCTCATCATAGCGGTGGAAGTAGAGCGGGAGCAGGCTCAGGCACACGTGTGGCTTTAGGGGCCTCTTTCCCACTCTCTCCATCAGTTTCATCAAAAGAGTGAAGATGACAATGGAGCCCTCCCGCACACTGCTGTCATCCTGGTGGAAAGAAAGAGGAAAAGACCTCAGCACCAGCTTCTCCAGGCCCCACTGGGCACAGGCCTCAAAATCCACAGGGACCAGTTTCCCAGCAGTACCCAGGGCCCGGGGAGGGGGGCACAGAGCCTTACGTGGTCAAACAGTGGCCGGAGCGCCTCAGCCAACTGCAGGCCAGTGGGGGTGGATATTAGGGGGTCTTCGCTGTGGACTCTCTTCTGGAGCTGTGTCCAGAGACTGCTCCAGAGCACGTTGTCAAGCACAGAGAGGGTCATCCAAACCACATCTCTGTCTGCATCCCCCAGTAGCTGCACAAGGCTTTCATTCAGGCTCCAGACGCTCTTGGCCTGTGAGGAACACAATGCTGTGCTGTGAAGCCATGAATGGCTGCATCACCAACCCTGCTC